ATATATATATATATATATATTGCACAACCATCGAAAGTGTAAATTACTATGTATAAAAAATTTGTTGTATATAACTCCTATTTAAAATACCTTAGAGATTAAATATCTTTTAATTTTTGTTTCTATAAATCCTCCTACCAAATTAAATGGTGACATATGTAATGATATTTTAGTATATTAATGTGACACATGTCATCATTTAAATGGGTAAGAAGATTGATAGAAAAAAATATATGATATTTAATTTCTCAATACCTTATACTAACCGGTCAAAAAAAAAAACAAAATTCAACATCAGGAGAAAAGTTATCTGAGTTCGGTATTGGCGCAGAAAGTGGAAAACGAATAAGAAAAACATTCATTGTTCAACGTTGTCAAAAATACAAAGATCAAATCCAGTGAATGCCTACAATTTTGTCGTAAACATTGTTGGATTAATTTCTCAATTTGGAGGATTTCCATCGGCCATTTCTGATTTCAATCAATTCAAGAATCGATTTTGTTCAAATCTGAGGACTAATCGTTGCAAAGATGACAGGGAAAATAGGCGAGAGAAATAAATCTCGAGGTTTTCTATTATTTCTTTTGATGATAGTATTGGGGGTGGTAGCGTTCGCTGTAGTGCTTACTTACACCAAGAAATTTGTGTATGGAACCGATATTGTCTCTAAGAAATATGGCGATGCTCTGGAGATCGCTATGCATTTCTTCGATGTCCAAAAATGTAAGGTTACCTGTTTGATTAGTCGTAATTTATCTCTTTAATTTGATGTTTAGTTCGATTTCTTTCAAGTGCATTTGCCATTTATGGTCAAGCTTCTTTTGCATGATGACCATTGCCATGTTCTCTTTGAATTACGAGCCTTCGATTGGACGTGTGTTTCGAAACAGTTTATATAAAAGTTGCAACGATAACTTTGTAACTTTGGATTCAGAATAATTTAGAGGTCAAAAAACCACTTCTGGATTGCATAGCAGCTAAAGTTATTACCTTTAATTCAGATAAAATAAAGTTACTTACTTGCCTCTTCTTTAACCCGATTCAAGAGATTGTTGCTCATGTTTATGAAGATTACCCTTTTTTTATTGTTCTTTTTTCCCTAACATTCAAACAACGGACTTTTTTTATTATTACAAATTCAAACATCATAAACACTTCCAAACACTATCATCTACATCCTATTTTATCATAACCGATTATCTTATTCTTAAGGTCTATTTTTCAAGGACTCAATGAGATAAAAATTGCACTTTTTTGTCTCTCCCAGAAAGGGAGAACAAAGACTCACACTCGATCTCTTGTTTGTGTAAAGGACGTGAATGCCCTCTTTATCCTAAATTATGATCTTTCCATTGTGTTGTAGCTGGAAAGTTGGTGAATAATAAGATAATATGGAGAGGGGATTCGGCTTTAGATGATGGGAATGAAGAAGGTGTTGATCTTTCCAAAGGAATGTATGATGCAGGAGACCATATGAAGTTTGGATTCCCAATGGCATTTACTGCTACTGTTCTTTCGTGGGCCATACTTGAATATGGTGATCAGATGGAAGTAGTGAATCAGTTGCAACCTGTTAAAGAATCACTTAAATGGATCACTGATTACCTTGTTAATGCTCATCCTACACCTAATCAACTTTATGTCCAGGTAAAATCCATGATTATGTTAACCATATCATTGGTTATGAGTTTTTTTTTTTATATATTTCAACTTATTTTTGGATCTGTTTGGTTGGATGGAATGGAATGACCGATAAATGAAATGGTTATGGTAATGAAGTAAGAAAGGTAATGGAATCAGTAATTACATTCCATGATCATGTTTCGGTAGCATGTAAGAATGGAATTAAGTTTTATATGATTTTTCTTTATATTTTATGTAAATAAAGTCTATAACTGATTATTTCATAACTTGATAATATGTTTAAAATGACAATTGTTTATTCAAGTGTATAGTTTCTACTATACTCTGTTCATAGTTAATTTATATTATAAAATTTTAATTTACTAAACATAAAAATTTAAGCACAGTATTGAAACCCAAATAAGATTATAACAATAAATATATTTTCTAGTTACATTTAGAAAGATAATATTTTAATTTAATTAATAATTATAACCATGGAATTTTTTAAAAAGGATACATATCACTAAAAATTACATAAATAAAAATGGGTTTTATTGCAACTTTTCATACCATTATGGAATGAAAAAAAACACACCTTAAAACTAAGAAATAAAAATTATTTAATGGAAAGAATCACATTCCTTGAAAAATGGCCCATTCCACCATGCAAAACAAAAGCTTGTTCTCATTCGAACGGAGTAAACCATTCCATTCCATTCCTTTCCTTTCTTGATCTCATCATACTAGAATAAAGGACAATTAATATCAACCAATTTACATCCATTTACCAAAATACAAACAATTTGTAACCAAAAAAACTATAAATACGATGGCGTGGCAATTATTGCCAGGTAGGCGATCCAGTGAAGGACCATAAATGTTGGGATAGACCCGAAGACATGACTGAAAAAAGACCTCTAAAAAAGGTAAACCCTTCAGCCCCAGGGTCAGATGTGGCTGCTGAAACAGCAGCAGCCATGGCTTCCGCATCACTCATGTTCAAGTCTAGTAATTTGAAATATTCAAGTTTGTTGTTGAGTCATGCTAAGGAATTGTTCCATTTTGCTAATGAGAATAGAGGGAGTTATAGCGAAAACATCCCTGAAGTTGAAGATTATTACAAGTCAACCGGTTATGGTGATGAGCTTTTGTGGGCAGCTAGTTGGCTTTATTATGCAAGTAAAGATAGAAAGTATCTTGATTTTGTAACGGGAGAAAATGGAGAAAAGTTTGCTAATTGGGAAACTCCTACTTGGTTTAGCTGGGATGACAAGCTTCCTGGAACTCATGTAAGATCTCTCTCTTTCTCTCTCTCTCTCTCATTTATTTTTTTTCTCTTTTAAATCGATAACTTCAAGAAGCTGATACACTGTTGTCTCTTAAGAGACTTAGGTGTTGTTTCTTTTTTGACTTAATGCAAGAAGAGCAATTTAATCGAGACCATATTAAGTCTTAACTTTTTACAAATTTTCCCTCATGTATTTTTTTCTTACGTTTGCCAAGCATGGCGTCATTTTCTCAATGATCTCTTAAGCATTACTTATCCAAGTCCAGATAGAACTTTCTTCAAACAGTAAAAAAAAGAACAAGCTAAAGATTGTAGTAAATGGAGCTTAGGTAAAGTTGGGAGACCTAAATGGGGTTTAAAAATGGTTTCGTTTTGCTACATTTTTAGGGCGATGTTTCTTAAATGTGATCTAAATGTTGAAGTATAAACAAAATAAATTTTTAGGTTTTATTAAGTACAAAGTCTAATGAATATATTTGACACTTATGTAAAAAAATATGAAATATGTCTTAATAAGGACACAATTAAGGAATCTTGTTATATCCTATGTAACAAATGTAACCTATGAGACTATTAGGAAACTCGATAAATATTTGAATGGGCATATTAGGTTTTGTTGTCGAGGTTAAGCTTCTTTGGTCCTGAAGCTGCAGCAGAAATAGAAAACATGGATATGTACAGAAAGTCGGCAGAAGCAGTCATGTGTAGCCTTTTGCCAGATTCTTCATCTGCAACATCAAGCAGAACAAAAGGTATTTTCATGTTTTAACAGAACAGAACATAACAGAACAGAACAGTGCAAAATGTTTCATTGTGTTTGTTGATAATGCAGGGTCTAATATGGGTGAACAAGTGGCATTCTTTGCAACAGCCTGTAGCTTCAGCATTTTTAGCTGTTTTATTCAGCGATTACATGATTTCATTGGATACTTCAAAACTCAAATGCAATTCAGATTCCTTCTTACCATCCGATCTTCGCATGTTTGCCATGTCACAGGTATTTTTTTATCCATTCATGTCTTGTGTAGCAAATATGACCTTAATAGGAGATGTTGTTTTGATAATAATATTAATAAGGGTTATACGCAAGAAATAGCATTGTACTTTTATTTATTTATTGTATTATATAAAATTCTACATTGTTATTTCTTGCACTTAGCCCTACTAATAATCAACATATTTCACATTGGGGAATTTTCATTCCTGTAATTTACTAGATTTTCAAAGTGTAATGTCCTGATAAAAGAAACTGAAACTACAATATTAGGTACATTTTCTAAAGAACAATTTCTTAATAAAAAGGGAAAAAAAAGAAAATAGGATGTTATAATACATAAATAGATGAAATTACATTGTTATTTCTTTCTTTTTAGCCCTTTAAATAATCCACGAATTCATTACAAAAATTTGGTATATTTTTCAAAGTACAATTTCCTTATAAGAAAATTTGTTGAAACTAGAATGCTATATTGGGTATATTGTTCAAAATATGAAAATACAATGTCTTAACAAAGAAAATAAATTGAAAGTACAATTTTGTGATAGAAAAAAATGAAACTAAGATACTATAATATACAAATAAATAAAAGTACATTGCTATTTTATGCATTTATCCCTACTAATAATCAACATCTTTCGCGTTAGGCGGATTACGTATTGGGAGACAATCCAATGAAGATGAGTTATCTTGTCGGATACGGTGACAAATACCCGCAATATGTACACCATAGGGGAGCCTCGATACCTGCTAATGTAAAAACCGGTTGCAAGGATGGTTACAAGTGGCTCGAATCCAAGGAACCTAACCCTAATGTTGCAACCGGTGCACTTGTTGGTGGGCCCTCCAAAGCCGATAACTATATAGATTCGCGTAATAACTCCATGCAAGGTGAACCGAGTACATATAATAGCGCAGTTCTTGTTGGGCTCCTTTTAGGGTTGGTTTCAGTTTCATCGGTGCCTAAATCATTCAAGTAAAACCTCGTATGGTATTTTTATAGAAACAAACGAGGGTTCGAGTTTCAACAAGTGCATTGCAGTGTGGGAGTTTCAGTTTAAATGTAAATTGGGCTCCAAATGATGGTTTCAGACTGATAATGAGACAGACTGTACCTGATATATATCTCATAAGATGCTTTTAGAAAACTGGAATGAGATAGGATCCAATGGTTAGAGATTGTTGGAAGGATAACAATTGGACATATTGACAAATCTATTGCATAAAATATTTTATTTCTATGTAACTCTAACAAAATAATAAGAATAAGTAATAGGAAAACCAAATTAGGAACATATTGTGAGTCTAGTTACAAGATAGGAAATAAATAAATATTTTAGTTTAATTATGTAATTAACAAAACTATATAAAACACAATATTACTTTTTTCTGTTTTCCTACCAATAAGTACACTCGGTACAATCAAAATATACATGGAAGTAAACAAATCCACACACCCTCCCTCAAAGTCAAGGAGAGTTAAGATCCTATGTTATATATCATAACAAACTTATGGTGGTCTACTCAATCTAACAGTTGTCAATGGTTTTCAGTTGGAAGTTGTAGGGATGAGATTAAGTCAACGTGCAATCTCTGACTTTGCAGTATAACCCAATTGTTGCTCCATTTCCCAACTCAGTTTAACTTCCATCACATTCTGCTCTGGGTCGTATTCCTACGAATTTAAATTTTATTCATATAAAACTTTATTAAATATATAATAAAATATTCAAATGACAAACATTTTTATTTGGATATGGAATTAAAAGATGTAATAAAAAACTACCATACTTTTACTTAAATTTGATATTATTAAGTATAGTTTTTAAATTTTCTATTTTATTTGAAAGAATGTTTTGCTTAACTGTTCAAGAAAACGATTATATACCTCAAGCTTGGACAATAGTTCATGGGCAGTTTGGGCAGAAACGATAATCCTACGGGCAGCAGGGGTGACGAAACCTTCATCAACAGCCTTGTCTATGAAAGACAACAAGGAGTTGTAGTATCCGTCTACATTCAACAATCCTACCTGTAAACATTTGAATTTGTTAACAATATTGATCATGGTTATGCTTTAAAAAATGTTACAACTGTTAGATAGTTGTTGTCCGAGTCGACATAACAGTGAATTTGACCAAGTAAACAACATATCAGAGGAGTCATTATCGAATCACTGGTTTCTAAATATGATAGTCAAACTCACCTCACCTTTAGTGTACATTATTATGTAAATAGCCCATGTTAGGCCCCTTTTTGTATAGCCCATTGTACTTTGTATAGACTATGCTAGAATATGGTACCATATAATATGGAAAACGGGCCATTATAGTCATATAAACAAGAAAAAACTCATGCACACAAATTATGCAGAGATACTACCAAAGAGATGGTATATATATATATATATATATATATATATATATATATATATATATATA